AGCATGAGAGCACGTGGAGCACAGGAAAGGGTCAGCCCATGATTCAGAGTCAGGATGTGACAGGGAAATAGCAAAAGAGGACCAAGATGCAGAAGCGTTGCTCAGGCTCATCAGGTCCTAAATGAGGAGAGATAAGCAACACTATGAATGTCACGGAGGTTGCTTTACATGTACACACACACACACACTAACACTATACACACACTATTAAGTTACTGCTAAGAAAACTGTATTTAATTCATTCAAGTGTGGCTTAGTCACTGTCAAAAAGCCTTGTGTTGTTGTCTTTATAAAGTCTGCATCAATTGGACCCCAGTTACTATGATAAAATTTTCATGGTCTGAGTAGAGCCACTAGAATTCTGTTTCCCCGAGAGCACAGTGTCAGAATTTCAGGACTTGCAGAATGTGCTTAAATGAAGTCAATCCCTATCTGGTTACACTGAGGATTATACTGTATTTGCTAGAAATCCCCTATTCAGGATGTATTTTCAATATTCAGTTTCACTAACAACGAGATGCAAATTGAAACAATTACAGCAGTTTTTATGGCAAGAGAAAGACAGTGATTTCTCCCTCCTTTTATTAGACATTAACCAAAAGGAAAAAAGAAAATAAGAACAGAAAGGTATCTGCAGCCCTGAACCTTGATGCACGAGGAATGTCTACCATATGCAATAAAAGTTTGGAAGTAGACCAAGAAGGGTTGCTAGTAGTGGCAAACCTTAGGGGGAAAAGGACAAAACCACAGCGAAACTTAAAAATCCTGTTTGAGACGAGGGGAACGGTCGAGGACATGTGACTAAAGTGTTCGTGGACCAAGTTTGCAGGTGTTCAGAGCAGGGAAGGTGGGGCTGAACCAGGAATTCCAGAGAAGCCATAGTTGCAGGAAATAATGTCTTAGAGTTGCACAGGAGAGGTGTACTTTGTGAATTAATTGTTAACCTAGTGTGACCAGGGGAAAGTAAAACTAAAGTAATACAACCACAAACACAACTTGTGTCATCAGGAGACTTTCTGCTGATTTCTAACACATACCAAATATTTCACCATGATCAGGAAAACTTTAAAACTTAGTAGAGGAGTCAGTTCTATAGACAAAAGCTAAAAGTAGAGATAAAAATATTAAGAGAAAACAGAAGAAGATGGGACAAAAAGTGACAAAGCTCAGGAAAAGAGTATGAGACAAACATAAAACCACATCTGAAGTGTAAACCTGAGAGCTATACCAAAATGCAAATACAAACACCGATGAAAACACAGTCAAAGAAACAGACAAAGAACTGACCAAAACAGTTCTTTGAAAAAAAACACAGTCAAAGAAACGGACAGGACTGACAAAAAAACAAGCAAAATGAAAATTAATACATGACTTACGAGAAAGAGAGAGAAAAGGACAGATGTGGAAAACAGGCAGAGAATATCCAACACACAATTAATCAGTTTCTCTGAAGAAAAGAGCAATGTTAATGTAAAAGAAAAAATTTAACATCATTCAAGAATAATTTTTAGAAGTTAAAAAAGACTCGTGTCTACAAATTAAAGGGTACATGTCTCGGGAAAAAAATGGCAAAGGATGCTAGTAATGTTACTGGATTTTAAAGATAAAGAATTCTTTGGACAGCCAGGAAAAAAATCAAGTCCCACAGAAGGGAAAATCATTAGACTGGCCTCAGATGTTACCATGACAACATTCAGCTACAAAGTCCTCAAGAAGGAACTTGTAGATCGAATGCTTCATAGCTAGCCAATTTGTCTTTCAAATATAAAGGCAAAAGACAAATAAGTTTTACAAATTCAAAATCTAGAGAAAATTATTAAAATGAGTCTGTCCCAAAGAAACTACCAGAAAAAAATTTTGGCCAATCAAAAGACAAACAGAGAACCTGTGGCAAGAGAACCAGGGGTGGACGTGTTAATGCATTTAACTGTGAAACTAAGACTAAAACAAGAGAAAATATAAGTGTTACATATGAGGACAGTCTAGAAACATTGTGACTATTGAGGACTAGAAAAGGAAAGACAAGGGCATTTGAGAGGTGGTATAAGTCCACGTCTGTCATTACCAGAGACAAAAAATATATTTAAATCTGGTAAATCAATTTATAGATGTATAAGTATATGTAAAAACATAAAGGTAAATGCTGAGATTTTCAAATATGCCCAAATGAAATTAGGAGCAGAGGAAGTTGAGATATGCTCGTTTTATAATTGTTCATTATGTGAAGTTAATGCAGGATACAGTAGAATATATAAAGTAAGATTTATAAGGAAACCACTAAAGCAAACTTCCAGTCCTTCCAAATACTAAAATTAAAACAAACATAACGAAGTAAAGTTCACAGAGAACCTACAGCAAAAAAATGTTCTTAAGGTACAATCAAAAGTAGAGAGTATAATAGTAACAGAACTGACCTCAAACATATCTGCACTTCACTAAAGGGTTAAATGTACTCAGGAAGAAAAACCCAGTGAAGGGCTGTATTCCAGAGGTACAGTAAAAACAAAAGGTGAAAGACAAAAGCCTTTGAGGCAAATGCATAAAAAAGAAGCAGGGACAACAATCAATACCAGACAGGCTTTATTTTGGGACAAAAGGCATTGTATGAAACAAAAAAGTCACTTTATAATGATAAAGGATGCAATCCACAAAGAAGTCTAGCAATTATGGATATTAGTACATCATAATGTAACATCAACACTCAGAACAAAAGCTCAGAGAATGTAAGAAGAAGCAGGGGTACCTTAGAGCAGAAAATTTTAATTCATGTCTCTCAGCTCATGATGGATTAAGGTGGAAAAATCAGT